GCCTGCCACCCCTCCTTGTGGCTGAAGGTCCCATGCACCAGTAAGAATTTAGCCTCTTTTTGATCTGGACCAGGGATGCTAGTGGGGCTGATGCCAAGGAATGTGTAGGTTTAGTGCTGCGGGCAAGTAAGTTAAGAAAAAGAATGAGCTCTTGCACTGTCCTGATGCAGTGACCAAGACACGTCTCCCTCCAGAGCCTCACGTGCCCTGCTGGGGTTCCCTATTATCTTTCCTCCTGGTGGAAAAGGACCTGCTCAGACTCCAGCACAGGGCTCCTCTAAATCAGTGGTTGTCCCCTGTGAACAGAGAAAATGCCAGCCCCACTCAGTTGGGTCCCTTCCCCAATTGGCCAGGTGCTGGACTCGGTTGGGTGCTATCTATTGATAGTTCCGTACAAATAGAGCTTGACTGGGGTCTTTTCCTTCTACTTGTTGCTTCTTATTCCTTTTTTTTTTCTTTTTCCTTCAGTATTAGGGTGGACGTACATGCTAGGCAAACACTCCTGGTTGCTTCTTGGTCCCTTTTCTCCCTGTGTGCAAGCTGTTTTTTAGTTCATTGAACTTTATCAGGGGACATGGTATGCTGGTGAGCTAGAAGGATCCTCAGCCTTGGCCCATCTAGGCCAAGTCCTGCAGCAGACAAGCAGGACTTAATGCAGGTCCTGGGGTCACTCAGCACTGAGGCAGTGCAAACCACTGTCCTTCTGCAGCCCCCCTAGTCATTTCTTCCCTCTCATTCAGCATACTGGGGGTAACCCTGCTCCTCTCCTCTGCTGTAAGCTCCTACTTACCCTTAAGGGCTCTCTCTTTCTAGCTTTCCTCCCATAAATCTTCTGCTGACATGGCCCTGATCACCAGGACCAGATGGTGTAAGGCTAGTGTCCTCAATGGACCATGCTTAAGAGGACCAGGACCTATTTAGATCATCACTCAAGACCCTGTCCAGAGCCTGGACCAAGAGGTCTCCCAGGAGGGAATTTCTCACCCACCGAAATGGAAACATTGGGTTCCAAGAAGTGCTTTGGTTCCACATAGGTTCCAAGTGTTCTCATTTGTTCTTTCTGAATTGGGCCCTTGTCTGAAGTTAGAGGATGAGACAGAACCACAGCAATTTAGTGTAGCCCAGAGAAGCTGCCCTCTTACCCCCATCAAAGAATAAGAAGCAACAAGTAGAAGGGAAAGACCCCAGTCAAGCTCTATTTGTACGGAACTATCAATAGATAGCACCCAACCGAGTCCAGCACCTGGTCAATTGGGGAAGGGACCCAACTGAGTGGGGCTGGCATTTTCTCTGTCCACAGGGGACAACCACTGATTTAGAGGAGCCCTGTGCTGGAGTCTGAGCAGGTCCTTTTCCACCAGGAGGAAAGATAATAGGGACCCCCAGCAGGGCACGTGGGGCTCTGGAGGGGGACGTGTCTTGGTCACTGCATCGGGACAGTGCAAGGGCTCATTCTTCCTCTTCCTTTTTTTTTTTTTTTTGGTACCGGGCATTGAACTCAGGACCTTGAGCTTGCAAGGCAGGCGTGGTGTCACTGAGCTAAATCCTCAGCCTGCTCGTTCTTCTTCTTAACTTACTTGGCGGCAGGACTAAATCTACACACTAAATCTACTAGCAGCCTGGACTGTGCTGTGAAATGAATGTTTGCCCCCGACACACACACACATAGAATGCATATGTGAAAAATTATCCACCACAGTAACAGAGTGGACCCTTCACAAATGGCACTGCTATAATGTTTTCCTCAGTGATTCCAGGTTCCTAACTCCCTTCCTAAGGCAAGTGTCAGAAACTCTCAGTTCAGAAGGGTCCTGCCACAGACCCTGGGGAGAAGAATACCACACAGAGACCAAAAAGAATCCTGAAGGAGACATGCTTGCTACCCGACCCCCTACCCCTGAACCATCTATTTTAGGATTAGATATGCAGTGAAGTCTCCACAAAAAACCACAAGGACATGATTTGGAGAGATTCCTGATAGCTAAACACATGGAGTCCACAATGGGGGGCTGGCCCCAAGAGGGCAAGGAACTTCTACACCCTTCCCCCATGCCTCACCTTGTGCATCTCTTCACTTATATCCCAATAACATATTTACAATAAACTGGAAAATATGCTTCCTTGAGATCTATGAGCCCTTCTAGCAAATTAACTGAACCCAAGGAGGAGTGGTTGGAACACCAACTTATAGCCAGTTGTTTAGCAGCACAGGAAAAACAACTAGGGACTTCGATTGACATCTGAAATGAAAGGAAGCAGTCTTGGAGACTGAGCCCTCACTCTGGAGGACCTGACACTATTTCTGGGTAGATAGTATCAGAATTGAATTAGACAACACCTGGCTGGTGTGCACACCTGAACTGATTGTTGGCTTGTTGCTGGGGAGAAAGCCACAAAGACCACAGAAGTCTTCTGTGTTGAATGGAAGACAGCCTCTGTCTGCTTTTCATTGGACAAAGGAGTAATATCCAGAATATGTGAAGGACTCATAAAGCATAGCAACAAAAAAACAAGTAATCTAATTTAAAAAGGGTAAATGATCTGAAGATATTTCTCAAAAAATAGAAGAAATCCAAATGACCAATAAATACATGAAAAAAGTCTCATTCTCTTTAGCCCTTAGGAAAATACAAAATAAAACTGCAACGGGATTTCTTTCATCCCAGTTAGAATAGCTGCTAATCAAATAACAACAACAACAATAATAATTTTTAAATGCCACCAAGGAGGTGAAGAAAAAGGAAGACTTATGCAATGTGGATGGGTATGTAATTCAGTACAGCACTATGAAAAACAGTATTGAGTTTTCTCCAAAAGCTAAATACAGCCGGGGATTTAGCTCAGCTCAGTGGTTCCGGCGCCTGCCTCGCAAGCATAAGGTCCTGAGTTCGATCCCTGGTACCAAAAAAAAAAAGCTAAATACAGAACAATCATATGATCCAGCCATCCCACTCCTGGGTATATATGTGAAGGAAATGGAGCCAGAATAGCATGGAGATACCTGCACACCCATGTTTATTGTGGCACTAATAACAACAGCCAAGGAATGGAGTTAGTGTAGGTGTCCATCTGCAGATAAACAGACAAAGAAACTATGGTCCATATACAGAATGGTATACTATTCAGACATAAAGAATGAAATCTTACCATTTGTAGGACAGGGGATAAAACTGGAGGGCATCATGTTAAGCAAAATAAGCCAGACATAGAAAGACAAGTATCACATGTTTTCTCTCATATGTGGAAACTAAAGAAAGAAAGAAAAAGATGACTTGAAAGTAAAAGGACTATTAGGAACTGGGTGGGGAAGTGGGGAGTGGGGGCAAAGAAGAGAGGGAGGGAGTAGAAGAAGAATGGATAGGCGTAATCAATGTATGATACATGCATATATGGAAATGTCACAGTGAATCTCATTAATTTATATAATTAATATGGGCTAATCATTACCATTTAAAAAGAAAGACTATCCAAAAAAAGGGTCAGGAATAAAAAGCTCCAGCATGGGATGGGGGAAGAAGTCTTCCTTGTCGATTGTGATGTGAGACCAGAGGAAAAACAAGCAGTTTGTTTTTTCAACACAGTGGAAGAATCAGTTAGTTTCAACTACTATAACAAAATACCCAAGGCACTATAACAAAATACCTACATATGAAGAAAAGAGGTTCATGTAGCTCACAGTTTTGGAGGTTTGAGGCCCTTGTGCTTGCATTGCTCGGGCAAGGGTTATGTCACAGCATGCAGGGCCACAGAGCATATGCAAGGGCAAATGATCACATCTTGAACAGAAAGCTCAGTGAGAGCTGAGTGGGTTCAGACTCCAATTTTTAACACAACCTCTGGAGAACCTACTCAGGGACCCAAGAGAATTACATTAATCTCTTCTGGAGGTGGGGGCTCCCCTTTTAAAGTTCCCAGCACCACCACTAGAAACCAAGCTTCCAACATGTGGTCTCTCGGGGGACAAACCTCATCCAAACCATAGCAGTGGCCTTATCAAAGGGGACCAAGAGAGACTCTTTGACTCTTCCACCATGTGAAAGTATAGAATGAAGACCGCAATCCAAAGGAAGTGGACCCTCTTCAGATACTGAATCTGCCTCAATCTTGGACTTCCAGCCTCCAGAACTGTGAGCAATATATGCCTGTTGTAAGCACCCAGTTGAAAGTATTTTGTTATAGCAGCCCAAACAGACTAAGACAACCTGTATTAGTTTGCTGAGGCAGACGAAACAAGGCACCAGAAACTGGCTGGCTTAAACAGGACAGTAACAATGGAGGCAGGGACTATACAGTCAGTGTGGCACCAGAAAAAGTCTTTTAAGATGCCCTGGGGCCCAGGATGAACACAGGGAGGTCATAAGAGGCTGCTGAAGAAGCCTGGTGTGGAGGCCGGAAAGAAATGGGTTTCAGCAATCCCCAGCCCCTATCTTTGTTCAGCTCCTCTTTGGAGAAATGTCAAATCAAGTTCTTTGCCTATTTTTAAATCATATTTGTTGTTGTTGACAGAGTATCTCTTTGATCTCCTAAATAACTCAAGAAGCAGATGCAGTCAAGACAGTCTCCCAAGACACAGATGGGGAGACTGACCTGGACCTCTGCCCCACACTGAAAGAGAACTGTCATGGTATCTCGTCTAAGAATCATGTACCAGTCCCTGGGGCAGGAGGTCTGGCAGAGCCTTCCAGGCTGCCCTGGCAGTGAAGCCCAAATCTGGCTGATGGTGTGCTGGCCCTGCTCCCAGTGGCATGGAAGCTGGGAATCTGCCTGACGATGCCTTTACCTTCGACCTTAATGATGCTTGTCAGGCCTGGGCCTGCTTTCCCGGGGCTCACTGGGGCCAGCACCTGCCCAGGGGCCCTCAGCCTTTCTGCCCTCAGGCCCTAGAGATTTTCTGCCAGTCTGTACAACCCAGCACCTCTCTCTTGGCCTGGGGCATGTTGATCTCCCAGTGTGAAGCCCCAAGAAAGGAGTGTCTCAGCCACCATTTCAGATGTACGGGGCACGATCCTATCTGTGCCACCAGGAGATGCAGCACTTTTGCAGACAGGAGGCATGACTCCTGCCCACTCTGCACCCTTCACCTGTAGCGCACTGTCTCCTGGGACGTTCTGAAGGCAGGACCAGTTCAGCTTATCAGCAGTGTCCTGCTAAGGAGGCACTCAGCAGGTGAGAATGTTGGGCTCCACCCCAGAGCAAGCCACAGGTGTGGGTGATAGCGAAGCACTGACTGCAAAAATGGGCCTGTTGACAGGAGCACAAGGGAAAGAACAAGCCAGTGAGTCCTTTCTCCTACTTTGTCTCACCTGAGTCCCCAGTTCTGGCTCGTAGGCACATCCTCACAATGCTTCTTGTGTCTAATCCCACTGAGCTACCCAAGGTGATGTTAGTCAGAAGCACCAGGGACAGTGGTCAAACCCCAGGTCTCCCACATGCCCTTTTGAGCCACTGGTGAGACTGAAGGGTCCCTCCTTTCCTGCCAAAGTGGCCCTGTGCCAGGGGGCTCTATTTCCTGCTGCTCCCCTATTTAGAAGGAACCTTTTTAAAGAGAGCCTTTAGAACATTGATGAGGCAGGTGCCAACTTCAGCCCAGGATATGAGAGCTGGAGACCTCAGACACATGTGAATGCTGACCCTGGCTTGCCATTGATCTTTAGATATTCAACCTCAAGATTCCCTCCCAGTCAAGAGGAAGGAATTTGGAGGCATCCTGATCTCCCACTCAGCTGGTTCATGGCTCCAGCCCATGATGGGACAGGGAATGAGGCCCCTTACACTCTGCAGGTGGGAGCAGAAGGCCTCCCACCCAGGCCAGACACAATCTGCCAATGGTCTGGCATCTAAAGGTGGCTGCCTCTTGACACCCCCCCCCATCCCACACCTCTACTGGTTCTCAGCTGTGTTTGTTGTGCAGCATTCTGCAGATAACTGTCCTCTATAGGCAGAAGTGGCCCCAGTGACATTCAGCCTGAGAGAGGCATTGGAAGGAGGCAATGATGCCAACTGAGCTGAGACCCCCTCACCAGCCAAGTTCCTGTGCTCTTGGGAACATGACCACACCTGAGACCTTTGAAATCAGGCATAGAGCACTGCACTGGCATTCAGATGGCTGCCTTTCCCCAGGGAAGTGCCTAGAGAGTGCTGTGAGCTGCATTCGCACACAGAGCTGCTGATCCATCACCCCCACCCTGGGTGGTGCTGGGCACCTGCCGCCAGCATACATGGAGTAGGGTGTTAGGATGGGCCAGGGCCTGTGCCTACTGCCAAGGGTTCCAGGGTGACTGTGAGATTTGGCTCTTGTCACCCAGGAGATGAGGCCTAGAGCCCCCCACTGCATCCTGTTTATTCTAGAGGGATTTTCAGATCCATCTCTAACCTGTCTCTGACCTGACCTGACACTCATAAGCCAGGTAAGGGAGTTGGGATGTAGCCCTAAGAACCCCACCACAGAGAGAGGCAGGTGGAGGAGTGGGGTGAGCACTGGCTCATCTATCGCTGCTGGCTGCTCCATGATCTAGGTCACTGGTGCTCTGGCCTCGAGCTCTGCCTATCTCAGGCACATATTCCCGTGGGATTTTTAAACGCCTCACTGCCTCTGGGAGAATCTCAATGTTGGCGCCCTTTCCTATCTCCTCATTCATCTTCTGTTCTTCTACTTCTTGCTTATCTTAAGATCACAGAACTGCAGTGCAGACAGAGCACCTCAGAGATGCCAGGATGCCTCAGGGAAGGCCTCAGACAGCCAGCAGGGAGGGTTGGGGTCAGGAGAGGCAGAGCATCAGGCAGCTCTTTCTCACAGCATCACCTGCATTCAAGGTCCTTTCCCTGGACTGCTCTCTGCCTCCTCTCCCAGGGACAGGGTACCTGCAGCTCATCAGACAAAGCTGGAGGCCCATACCACCCCCTCCCCAGGGGCCCTGGCTGCTCTGGGTGTCCAAGCTGGCTCCCTGCTGTGAAGCACAGGCAGTCTTTGTAGCATTCACTCCAGCTGCCCAGTGAATCTGGGGGTTGGTGTGGACCAAGCCCCCTTTAGGGCCCAGCTCTGTCCACCCCTGTAACACACAGGCAGCTTTAAATAGGGCCAGGCAGCACCCTCTTGGCAGAGGCAGCTGCAGTGGATTCTGTGCCCTTTTAATCAGCCTGTCTTTAGCGATGAGGACTTGTTTGTGTAGAGACCCGCTTCCATTTTTCTAACATGCAAATCAAGAAAAGTATTCTCCAAAGTCCTTTACTGTACACACATTTCCCATTGTCCATTGGAAACAGCCACTGCTTTGGGGAGCAAGGAGGAGGCCCCAGAGCTCCTGGGGCCCGTGCATGTCCTCAACTGGGCTGAGCACACTGAGGCCTGTCTACAGGACAACAGAGGTCTCAGGACTTGGAATCTGTAGTCTGCAGATCCCAAGGACCTGGTTTTCCTGGCTAACCTTCCCATATATCCTGTGACACCGGACCCAGAGTGTTTATGTGCTCTCTCATGCTGCTCAGTATGAAGTGAAACCATTAAGCTTTCCTGGGTGCTGGATGGGGCTGAGTGCCAGGGAGCCCCACAGGAGTTAGGGAGTCAATCATGAGTAAGTGGTCACCTGGGCTGCATCCTGCAGAGGAAGGCCTGCACAGGGCAAGCTGAGTGGTTAGGGGCTGGGGACAGTACTGTGGGTCTTCAGGCTGGGGAAGGCAGTGCAAGCAGAGGTACAGGATGTACCTCCTAATTCAGAGCCCCCAAGTGCAGGGACCTAGGTCCAGACCTTCTCACAAAACTATCTGGGAAAGGGTAATAGGAGCAGCAAGGACAGCAGCATGGGAACAAGTTTGCCCCCAAGTGCACAAACGCAGAAATCAGGAGAGAGAGGTCTGGGCTCCATCAGGATCTGACCAGGGCAGGCCCCCAGAGGGCTGGGACCAACACACACTGGGCTCTGAGGTTCTGGTTCTAGTCTTGGATGTTTAGTCTCAGACAGATCCCCATCATGCTCTGACCTGAGCTTCCTGCTCTGTGTTTAGGGCACAAAAATGTGCTCTTCCCAGAATGAGTCAGGGCTACCTGAGATGGTCGAAGTCACATCAGGGAGACAGGCCTAATCTGCTGCACCTAGCTCAACCTCTACCCTCACCCTTGACTTCAGATGGAGTGAACATTCTGGAATTTTGTCACTAGTGACCCTTGTCCCACCTGACATCTGTGTATCACCTGGAGCAAACTGCCCCACCTCTGAACCTGGCACTCGCATAACCTGCCTCCCAAGTAAGGATGGCAAGCACCTGGTCTTGCATCACCATCACTGCAGACCATCGCCCCATAAGCTCCTTCCTTCCCCTGACTGGCCCTGCAGCACCAGAGAAAACCCATTTACTCCATGATCTGTGCTGAGGGGGGAATGTCGCATGGTTTAAATGTGGCAAATAGAGAATTTCTTACCCAAAAAAGGTTTTTTTTGTTTTTTTGTTTTTTTGTTTTTTAATGAAAAGTGGCAAGCTATTTGTAGCCCAAGTTGGTTGAACAGATTTTTCTTGGTGTAGCCTTTTTTTTTCACTCATAAACTTCTTTTCCTTATGAATTAAAGAATAGCATTTTTTCCCACACAGGAGTGTTTTATTTACTTCTCTCTGTACTACAGCCAGCACTTGCTCTTCTTGATGAGTGAAGCAGAAGGAAACGCCCACTCAGGGAAGTGTTTACCCTCAAGCCACAGCATCTTGAATAAGTAAGTGTTTTGTGTCTAGGTCCCTACCCCTCCGCTCCTGCCTCCTTCCTGATCTCAGACAGAGCCCCAAGGCTTGAGCTTTTGGATGGGCGCAAGTCTGTTTCACTTGGGCCATGAGCCCCTGGCTATTTTGCTCAGAGCCTAAGAGCCTTTTTGTGAAGCTCACACCACCCACCCGGCAAAACTGAAGCCTCATCCTGTGAATCTGCTGACAGATGCCTTTGTGCCCTATTTTTCTGACTTCGGAAATGTCCCCTGTGGCTATACTGCTTGTTGAAGTGTGGGTGCTGCCACCAAGCACAGCTCCCAACTAGACAGAGTGCAGCCTCCATTTGTCTGCAGAGGAGTTCGAAGCTTTCCCCTGGACTTAGTCATAGGTGACCAGGGTCCCAAGGGAAGGGAACAGACCCCAACTCCTTCTCCCAAGCCAAAAGACTCAGGCCAGCCTCAGACATTTAACATGAGATACTGGCCCAGTGCTGCCCTGGACTACATCCTTCCATAGAGTGGCTCCTAGTTCTATGTATGACACCAGCTCTACACTGGTTCTCTGTTAGGTTCTACTCTCTAATCCATTAGCGTTGCTTTAAGTAATTTTTGAAAAATACTTACCTTTTATAAAAAAGATCTTATTTACATGGTATGTCTCATGATTTTGTCTCCTATCTCCAGAACTGTTTAAAAACTCTTATCCAAGTGTGGTGGCACATACTTGCAATCCTAGCACTCTGGCAGACTGAGGCAGGAGGATTACAAATTCAAGCCCAACCTGGGCAACTTGGCAACTTAGCAACTTAGTGAGACTCTAACTCAAAATTTTTAAAAATATAAAATAAGGGGCCAGGGATTTAGCTCAGTGGTTCTGCTGCCTGCCTTGAAAGTGCAAGGTCCCAAGTACCCTGAAGTACCTTCAATCCCCGGTATCAAAAAAAAAAAAAAAAAAAAAAAAAAAAATATATATATATATATATATATATATATAATAAAAGGGCTGGAGATGTAGCTCAGTGTGAAGGCCTTGTGTTCAATCCCCAGTGCTGAAAAAAAAATACTATTATCCTTGCACACATGTATCTCTCACCCTTTACCCAAGCTATGCCCTTGACCTAACATATACTTCCCTCAAGGCCAAGTTCAACTTCCTGACACAGGGCTGCCTAGAGCTGCTCTCCCAGTGGAGTCCCAGGGAAGAGTCCTATCTCCACCTTTGTCCCTAGCAGGTCAGTACTATGAGTCAGTATGTGCTAAATATCCCAGTGTCACTTTTGACTAACCAATTGAACCATTTTGCAAAGCTCTGGGCCTCTGAAACAGGATTTCTCCAATCCCTTCTGTACTGAGAGTATAATGTTCACAAGTCCTGTCTTGCACTTTGAGCATGTCCATCCCCAGTCGCCAATCAACCCCATTCTTTTATCGTATTTCCAAACTCCCCATAACTCAGTGGCAAAGTCAGACCAGAGCTGATAGGCAGCTATTAATCATGGCCATTATCTATTCCAGTTCACATGAATACTATTTGGCTACAACAATATTAGAGTGTTTATGAGATGCAGCTATGAGTTCCAAAGAGGCATCCTGCACATAATGTGTGATCTATGTAAAAAAATCTATAATTCCAAACAATACTGACCCTGGTGTTTAGGTGTGGGTTTGGGATGGTAGAACCTCCACTCTGGTCACCATTCTGGACCTGGAAGAAATTCATGGTAGAATGGTTGGGCCTTTGGCAGAGCAAGAACTGTGGAACAAAGATGCTGCTTATCTGACTTTTTCACTTCTTGAGCACAAAGCTCTATGCAGGGTGCTGGTGATTCAGAGACACAGGAGCCCTAGCAGCACCACACTCCACCCAGGGAGCCCACAGGCCAGTGGATAACCAAGGAGCACACCAGGCAGCAGAGTGGAGGTGGATTTCCTGGCGGGGGGGTGGGGGGCGGTACTTCCTGGACTCAGTATGTTAGGCCATCTCCCTCCAAGAGGACCTGAGTCTGAGAAGGTGGTGACCATAGTCCATAGTCCCTTTCAAAGGGACTGAAGGTTTTCTATGTGCCACCTGGGAATCCTTTGCAGAGGTCCAGGCCAAAGGCACCTGGGCATGTGATAATGACACAGAAAATAGGAAGGTCTCATGTTCTCTGCCACTGAACCTCATCAACTTGCTGAAGGTCTGGTGCTTCAGTTTTCCTTATCTGTAAACAGGGCACAGACCTTGGCTCACCTTTCACAGTGTGCTCCTGCTCTGCAACACTCTCCCCACAGTGACAGCAGGTCGGCCTGGTGCACATCCCACAGCCTTGGGGCTGCAGAGCACGGGGTGCAGAGCTGAGACTGGAGCAGTCCTGCCCATCTTTCAGCGCCTTTACTTCACAGACAATCCCATTTTACAGCACAGGAAAAGAGAAGCCGGACAACTGCCCGCGATCATGTGCTTTGCAGCTCGTCCAGGTACATGCTTCTAGAGCTCAGCACCAGCAGGCTGCAGGAAGGGTGCTGGGACCCTGGACTTCTGCCCCATGACCAGCGCCAGAGCAGGGTCCCCTGGCCAGCGCCTCCCAAGTCCACAGTGATAGCGTGAATAGGGCGTCTGCTGACCTCAGAAGTGTGCAGGGGCTGCCGTGAAGCCAGTGTGCAAGGCCTGGGGACGAGATTCCCAGAAGGCCACACGGATGGGCAGACAGAGGCCCAGGCTTGGACCGGGGTCCTAGGGAGAGTAGAGGGAAGGTAGCTGGGGAACAGGAAGGCGGGGGCAGGGGACAGAGGAATAGAGCAATAAAAACAGCCATGCAGGGCAGAACAGTGCGGGCATTGCCTGCTTACCACGGGCGCAGCCCAGTCCGTCAGCGGGAGGCGAGGGCGTCGCCCTGGGGCTGTGGGCTCGGCCGTAGGGGGAGCCTCAGTCCCCGCCCCACCAGCCGCGCCGGGTCGCGCGTGGGCGCGGCGGGCACCGATTGGCTGGCGGGCACGCGGGCGGGGCGGGCGGTGGCAGCGAGGAGGGGCGGGTCAGCCCGCAGCCCGGCCTCGGCCTCAGCCGCTCATCGCCGCGCCCCGCCCGCGCGTCTGCCGCCACCGCTCGTCCCCCGCCGCCGGCCACCATGAGCACAGGCCTGCGGTACAAGAGCAAGCTGGCGACCCCAGGTGAGCCCGGCGCCTGCCCGCGTGCCCGCGCGCGCCTTTGTCCCTGCCGCCCGCCCGCCTCTCACCGTGTCTCTCCGTCTCTCCCCCGCCCTCCGGCCTGGACCCACCGGGACCCAACCGCGACGCTGACCCCGACCCCGACCCGGCAGAAGACAAGCAGGTAGGTGCACTCCGCCGTTCAGCTTGTCTCGAGGCCTGGTCGGCTGTCACCTATTGTGGCATCAATGCCGCTGTCGTCCAGGCGCGACCCCGCCCCCGCCGTCCGTCCGTCATCCAGTCTGGTAGCAATAATCGATAATCGATTGTCTGTCGCTGGGCAGTGCCGCCACGCCTAGGGCTGCGAGGGAGGGGGGTAGGGGTGGGCGCCAATCCTGGCCCTCTGACCCTCACAGCAGGAACCTGGGCTTCTCCCCAGGATGGAAGGATGGGTAATCTCCCTCTCCCACTGGTCCAGCACCAGCATCTCCTTGCTGACCTGCTCAGTGTTGGGGTCCTGGGTGAGTGGGGGAGGGGTGTCTCCGGGTCTACCAGACAGTCTTTCTCTCTAAGCATCATGAGCCTCTCTCTGGTCACCCCACTTCACACCCTGCACCTTTATCCCTATATACTTAGGGTAGGCTGTGTCCCAGACTGGGAGCCTGGGTCTGAGTCATCCCAGTGCTTAGCGTGGGTCTTCAAACCAAGTGGGTACAGATAGGCTTGTGATCTTCCAAAGGAACTGATGTGGTCCCCACCCTTTGAGAATGCAGACCCCAACAGAAAGTTGGCCTGGGCACCCTCTGTAGAAACCTGACTGAGCTGGGGGTTAAACCAATCTGTGAGAGTTAGAAGTGGGGTGGGATGGGTAACCAGGTGGGCTACCAGGTATATTACTCTGCTGCTGGCCTCTCTGGCTTGAGCTCAGCCATGTTTAGGGAGGAAAGATGGACTCAATTCTGGCACCAGAGAGGCCTTCACACACCCTGTCATCTATAGGGGTTCACACTGGCATAGATGCAGGGCAGGACCCTGGCGTCCTTGCCTTGGGTGCATGTAGCAGGCAGGGTAGGAGCACCTGGCAGGTGGAGTGAGCTGGAGTCACTGGCTACTCAGTGCCAGTCTCCTGGCAGGGACATACTCCGCCCAGGGAGCACTGATGAGGCTCATTGGAAGGGGCTCCCCAGAGATCCTGGGTAGAAAGCAGTCTCCCCATCGCAGCAGGTCAGGTAAAGCCTGAGATGGAGGGACACACACATCCAGACTACTCCTTAATGAGAGGGAAAGAGTTGAGGCTGTCAAGACAGCATGCAGGCTACTCCTGGCCTTTCTTGTGCTCCAAGCTTGGCCTCAGGGCACTCTGAGTCACTAAGCTTGTTATCTGTTACTCAGCCCCAGACAGTTGTCTTTCGAATTGCTGCCAGGATGCCCCCCCTCCTGCTAAGGTGTGACCCCTTCAGGCCTGTGTCTGTCCATCCTTTGAGGTCAGCTAGGAGTCAGCCCCATCCCCTCTTCTGCCCCTAGGCCCAGAGGGGGAAGGCACCATGAAGGCAGAGGAAGGGAGCCCCAGGAACAGGCAGGGGGCCAGATGTTTGGAGTGGGCCCTGGTGGGTCTGGGGGGAGCCAGAAGCACACAATATTTTCACTGTGACCACTGAGCCTCAGCCCATCCAGGCCTCCTTAATCTACACCAGGCAAGTGGAGAAGCAGTGGGGGCTCTGCCAGCCCTGAGTCCCCTACCTCCTCTTGGGCAGTGATGGGGCTCTGTTGGCTCTGGCTGCTGCTTCCTGAGCTGACTCGGGTGATTCTAAGAATGGAAATGCCTCGAGAGTTACAGGCACCAGGAGGTGGGCGAAGCTGTGTCGAGAGGAAGTGCTGAGGAATATTTGTTGTGCCTCAGGGACCAGAGAGAGGAGGTGGCAGGGTCTCTCCCACAGAATACACGGGTCCTCCTTCTGCCCAATTGGGTGTTGGGCCAGGCAGGTTGGGAGATGGAAGTAAGACTCTCGCTGTCCTGATCAGGGCCCTCCCAGAGGCTGTGCCTTCCCAGTGGGGAAACTGAGGCAGTTTGAGACCAACAAGCACTGTTAAACACCAGGGTGTGGAGTGTCAAGGCTCCTTCTCAGCCTGAGGCCCTCTCAGCCAGGGCGGTCCATCTTCCTGGACATGTCGTGGGCCCAAGATGCCAGCTTCTCTGGGAGAAGGCTAGGCTGTATTTGAAGTGGATCCTGGGGTGGAGATTGGGTGAGACTCAGCCCAGGGCCTTCCTGTAGGTCCAGACTACAGAGGGAGCCAGTCGGAGGCCTTCTGAGAGCCAGGGACCCTGTGGCTGTGCCCCTGCCTTGAGAAGAAAGGCTCTTCTGTTCCCAGCTGTGGGCCTGCCCTCCTCCCAGGTGCCAGTGACTTCAGGCTCCCCAGCAAGACTAGGGCCTTTCGGGAGGGGGTCCTCCACGGATGAGCCAAGAAGGGAGGGCCTGCCTGGGGGAGGAGCAGGGCCAAGTGGAGGAGACCTTCCAGTGCTCTGCGCACTCTGACCAGACGCACTTCCAGGCATCCTGGAGCCTATCCAGGTTCCCTTTCCTGACCCCCCGGCGGTGGGGGCGGGCTTCATCTGATTTTCTTTGGATCCTAGAGGTAGGGGATAAGGAAGAGTTTGTTGGCCCACGGAGGGCAAGTTTCCCGGCTCAGCAGAACCCTGCGGTTCCTGGGGTGGCCACACGGGGGTGAGCGATAGCTAACCTGAGCAATCCAATGCCCGGTTCGCCCAGTACTGTACTGTGAGTCAGAGCAGGCAGGGAAGCTCTGAGAGGAAGGGAGTGTCCACGTGGACTTGTGGGGGACGGAACCCACTCCATCTCCCACACCGCTTCTGAGGGCAGGGGCCATCTGGGAGCTATGGTGGCCGCGCGCATTGTGGGCGGAGGCTTTGCCAAGCAGTAGGCCGGCCAGGGTTTCCAAGTTTACAGAGAAAGGGATCGCCCTACACTCTGACCTCCTGCGCTCCCTCTCACCTTCGCTCACAGTAAGCCTCTGCAGAGGTGGGGGTAGGTCCAGATGAGAGGGGTGGGTTCTGCCCTCCGCGAGTTCCCTGCAGGTCTGGGGACGCCCAGCGGAGAAAGAATCCCCACCAAATAGGCGCGCGCGCGCACGCACACAGAGGGGTAGGTTATCCCCAAAGAGGGGCAGGAGCCTGGGCAGAGGGGGTGTCCGTGGGTAGTTGGGCATACCCCGCTGGGAGGTTTTCGAGACGAGTCTGCACGGAGCGCGTGGGTGTTGAATGGGGCCGGTTTCCGCGCGGTTGTGCGTGGGTCTGGACCGTCCCCTAGCGCCCTCTGTTGGGCAAAAGCCACACCGCGTATCGGGCGCGGGACGGGCTGTAGACATGGACACACACCCCCGCCCACGCCCACGCCCACACCCATGTGCGGACCAAGCTTCTAGCCCGCCCATCTCTCTGTCCAGACGCCTGGACGCAGGCCGCGGGTGCCACCTCCAGGCTCCCAGTACACGCGGCCGCGGCCCCTCCCCGTGGCTCTGCTGGGCCCTGCCCTCCGCAGCAGTTTTTCATTGGTTCCGCCTGTGGCCCAATTTCTAGGCGACTGTCTCCTGGCGACGGCGGGCGGGGCTGTCTCCACCGCCCCCAGCCGAAAGCGCCGCAAAGCCCCGCCTCTGTCCGGGTGTGGGGGGTGGGCCTGCCAGGTCTGCGTCGCCGCCACAGCTCCGGGCGGGCCGGCAGAGGCTGGGGGGATGGCTCGGATGGTCTATGGGGCCAGCTGTCCCTCAGGTAGGCGACATCCCTACTCCGGGCTTCAGTTCCCGTGTCTGCAAAACTGGGGCGAGAGCAGGATTTAAAAGCAATACCGCGCGTAAGTCTCTCACGAGCGCCAGGCTTAGGTTGGCCTGCCTCGATCTGGGGGGTCCTAACGTAGCCGGCAGGGCCTCAAGGGTCGCCGCGATGGACTCACTGGCAGCGCCCCAGGACCGCCTGGTAGAGCAACTGCTGTCGCCACGGACCCAGGCCCAGAGGCGGCTCAAGGTGTGTGTGTGTGTGTGTGTGTGTGTGTGTGTGTGTGTAGAAGGGGTGGAATGTGGGTCATGTGTGCACACTTGCCTGGCCAGAACCCGCGTGACAGGGGACGTGGCAGGGGCCTCGGCAGGGGCAGAAGAGCCAAAGATCTTTGAGGGTGGGCACTGGTACCCTGCGGGGGGGGGGGGGCTGAGCGCCGCTGTCTATAAATAGCCCCTGCTTGCCCGCTGCTGCAGCTGCCACCCCCAGGGCTGGATTGGGGCCAGGCGGGCCTCCTACCCTGGGTACTCTGGGGAGGGGTTAGTGTTGAGGCCTAGGCTCTTCTTGCCTATGGAGGCTTCTGAGTGTGTCTTAGGAGTCTCAGTTCTGGTGCTTTCTGCCCAGAAGAGAGGACAGGGCCTGTGCCTGCTGCGGCTTACCACACACAGTTTTGGGTCGCTGAAAGCCCCTGGCTGAGGCTGCCACAGAGCTGCTGTCTCCTGCCACCCCCTCACCCGTTTTCCCACCTCCAAGCTTTTGTCTGTAAGCCCTCACCCCATTTTTGCCAACGAAATGCCATACTCTTGGGGGATACCATCTGCTGCCTCCTCCTTCAGACCCAGGCAGGGGATAGGGCACAGGGCTGCTGCAGTGGAAACCTAGTATGCCCCTGACCTGCCTCACTGCCGCCCCCAGGATATCGACAAGCAGTACGTGGGCTTCGCCACACTGCCCAACCAGGTACATAGAAAATCGGTGAAGAAAGGCTTTGACTTCACGCTCATGGTGGCTGGTGAGTGGTCCAGGCTGTTGGGTGGAGTGGCTGGGGCCACTGACCAGCCAAGTTCAGTTGAGGGGGGCCCAGACCTAACCCAGCCCCCACACTGTACTTGTGGCTAGGTGAGTCAGGCCTGGGGAAGTCAACGCTGGTCCACAGCCTCTTCCTGACTGACCTATACAAAGACAGAAAGCTGCTGAGTGCTGAAGGTAAGTGGCCTCTATGTGTCCTGACACCAGCCCGCCAACTCCTGCCATGTGACTTCCTAAAGGGGACCCTTCCAAGTTCAGTTCCCACTATTTTCATGGGGTGGGCCCCTATTCAGGGTCCAGAAGAAGTGGCCTAGATCACAGGCTGTATACCCAGGGGCAAGGTACTGGGATGGGTGAGGACAAGGGTCCTGGCTTTGGGGCTTGGACAGGCCTTCAAAACAATGCCTTCCTCTTGTCCCCTGTAGAACGCATCAACCAGACAGTAGAGATCCTGAAGCACACAGTAGACATTGAAGAGAAGGGAGTCAAATTGAAGCTCACCATTGTAGATACACCAGGCTTTGGGGATGCTGTCAACAATTCTGAATGGTGAGGAAATCCTAGCGGATAATGGGTCTCTGCTCCAGCCAACCCCAGCCTCCCTGGGCCAGCAAGCAGCCTCACAACTGGCCTCATCCTCTACTCATCTCCAGCTGGAAGCCTATCAGTGATTACGTGGACCAGCAGTTTGAGCAGTATTTCCGTGATGAGAGTGGCCTCAACCGCAAGAACATTCAGGACAATCGGGTGCACTGCTGCCTGTACTTCATCTCCCCATTTGGGCATGGGTATGTGACTGTTTACCCCCTTGCTGAGTATCCTTGTAATTGTGCCTGTCACTGCATCCCCACCTCCCCTCACCATGCCCCTCCCACACACCATGCTCATCCCATCCCCGGGCTGCTCTCTGCAGGCTGCGGCCAGTGGATGTGGGTTTCATGAAGGCTCTACACGAGAAGGTGAACATTGTGCCACTCATCGCCAAAGCTGACTGCCTGGTCCCCAGCGAGACCCGGAAGCTGAAGGAGCGGGTAAGGCTGCTGTGGCAGAGGACTGGCCAGAGAACTGGGGCAGAAGGTACCAGGGGTACCTAGCCAGCCCAAATCTGACAGCTCTTGTCCTACCACTGCAGATCCGGGAGGAGATTGATAAGTTTGGGATCCATGTGTACCAGTTCCCAGAATGTGACTCGGATGAGGATGAAGACTTTAAGCAGCAGGACCGGGAACTAAAGGTGAACTGAAGCCAGGTTGGGAGAGGGTGGAAGGGACAGACGGGTGGAGAGGCCAGGGACAGAACCAGAGGCCACATGGGACCCATTCACATAGGGCTGAGCACCCAGGCCTGACCTCATGAGGTCAGAAGTCATTTATCCTCTGCACAAGTGAAAGGACCTGAGTTCGATCCCCGGCACCAAAAAAAAAAAAGTCATTTATCCTGACGGTAAGGGACCTGTACCCCATCAGCTAAGGCCAAAGGGTAAAGGTGACCCAAATTCCTGCCTGGCCTATGTGGGTCATTTGGGCCTCACATATATTCTTAGTGCATCATAGAGCCCTTGCCTGAGTCACCCTGATGTGCTTTCCATAGGTTTTCTGCTAGTCTGGTAGCCACAGGGCTGTGGGATGCCCTGGCTTCCACAGTCTTGAGCTACAGAGGGTGGTGACTTTGGGTGCCCCAGCAGCTAGAGTAGTAATGATAGAGACTCAAGCAAGCCAGGGACAGGCACCACTGGGCATGATCTCAGCTCTCGAGAGAAAGAGGGGAGGAAGCTAGGTGGTTCTTGATCGGGAGAGGGAATCTGAAGGGAAGTGACCTGGTGGGCACAGCCTGACAGAGGTCCTGAGGGTATGAGCCACACAGGATCTGGCTTCAGTGGGCAGCAGAGGCCAGAAGACAGATGGTACCAGGATCTCTGGGAAGGGGGTGCTGGTGATGGTGATTCTGGAAGGGAGGCCTGGTGCTGGCCCCCACACCCTCTCCAGCCACTCTGTCGGCACTCACCCAACTGGGCCTTTGCTCCCCTCCCTTCAGGAGAGTGCTCCCTTTGCTGTTATTGGCAGCAACACAGTGGTGGAAGCCAAAGGGCAGCGAGTCCGGGGGCGACTGTATCCCTGGGGGATCGTGGAGGGTGAGTTGAGGCCTGGGACACTAGCAATCAGGTGGGAAGGCTCCCCCAGGGTGGCACCTACCCACAGCTCACTCCTGCCCCACAGTGGAGAATCAGGCGCACTGCGACTTCGTGAAGCTTCGCAACATGCTTATTCGCACTCACATGCACGACCTCAAGGATGTGACTTGCGACGTGCACTATGAGAACTACCGTGCGCACTGCATCCAGCAAATGACCAGGTGGGCTGTCTGCATGCTCACACAGAAACCATCCTGGCCCTGGCCACTTAGAGAGTTGGCTATGTCCTTCCCGCCCAGACCTAAACTTTATTCCAATCTCCAAATCAGATGTACAGTGCCTGATCTCCCAAAATCAGACCTGGGGCCTTAGGCCTGGCAGGAGTCGGTCATCAGGCATGCCCCAGCCCAGCAGCACTCTGAGCCTGTTGCCGACCCGCCCCCCCTCCATCTCTCCCCTACAGTAAACTGACCCAGGACAGCCGCATGGAGAGCCCCATCCCCATCCTACCACTGCCCACCCCAGATGCTGAAACTGAGAAGCTCATCAGAATGAAGGACGAGGAGGTTGGTGGGCGGGTGGTGGGGGTGGGGTCAGGGCTGGGTGTGACCTCCAAGGGAGAGGGCACGGCCAGGCCTCTCCAGGTGGCCTTCTCACCTTGACCACCATTGTCCCTATCCCCAGCTACGGCGAATGCAAGAGATGTTGCAGAAGATGAAGCAGCAAATGCAGGACCAGTGACGCTGCTGCTTCACCCCAAGTCGCAAGGGATGGGCCACCCGCCTCTGGCCTCTCCCACCCCTGGACCCCAAACTGGCCTGGATTCCACCCTGGATTCACTTGGATCTCAGAGGGGCCTGGACCCAACCCTAAACCCAGAGTGGCCCTGACGGGACTGTTCCCAACCCAGAGACATGGAGCCACGCCTGCCCCCCCACAGCCCTAATTTATTCTCAGCATCAGCCTCTCCAGGTCATTTGTATCTGTTCCCTAGGGGCCTAGACAACAGTTCCCATCTTAAAAAATACCACCCCCACCCCC